ACCTCTGGCGCTGCGCTGTCCAGCTGTGCGAGTTGTAAGGTTTCCTCAAAAACCGTGTCCCACCTTCGGAAGGACCTTGGGTACATAGGCTGCATATAGTCTGCCTCTGACTTCTAAAAACGGGATGCAGCATTTTCTGAAACTGCTGCCTATACTTTTATTGAAGTTATATATTTCACAGGGCTGCATTTTTTGCTGAAATTATTTGTTGTAAAGAGAGGCTGTGGTAGCTAGTGGATCCTGAAAGCAACGGAGAAGATTTAGGTAGGATATGTGTGTGGATGGTAACGAAGAAGAGCTGGGTCGCAGGAAATAAAAAGGGCACTGCCTGATGCAGCAGTTCTGTGTCGCCTGTCCTCCAGCTGCCCGGGGAGAGGCTGTGTTGCTGCAGCAGCCGAGGGAAGTGGATGTAGTTGTCGTGCAGCGGTTTAACGGGAGAGCTTGGTTTTCAGGTGGCGGAAGAAAGTGAGCAGAGATGATACGGGATACCCGAAAGGAAATATCGCCAACTTCCCCTCATTCTGCGCGTGCGGTTCTTTTCCCTTTCCCTTATCAGGAAGCCTGTGGAAACCCTACTGCTACACTAAATTGTTCAGATGGTGACCTGTGCCTCTGCCTGTCTCTGGTTTCAGTGCCAGGGTCGTGGTGCTGAGTGACATTTTATCTTTTGTCACAAATTTGCGGCAGTTGTTTAACCAGACTCATCCTGTGGTGCTCCGGTTTGGGGCTCTCCAGCGATTATTGTGTGTTCTTAATAAGTGTAAGCCGATTGCTGCAATACTGGTGTTGATTTGATAGATTTTTTTTGTCTTATTTAGTAATGAAGAATAAATATGTGTAATATAATGCTGTTTCAGATTTAGGAGGGAAATGCAGAAACGGCAGAGGAATAAGGTAACGTGTAGCAGACCTGGCCTGCATGGTGGGGTTGGCAGAGCATTAGCAAGCGATGCAAGGAAAAAGGGCATGCATTTTGTCAGACCTCAGTAAAGTTTCAAGTTCACTAGGATGTTTTAAATAAAAAAAAATGCATTAGAACTGCATGAGGACTTAATACTGCGTAATAGCAAGAGGGGTATTTGAAACTTAAGAAAAATGTAAATAAACTTCAAAGGTGAAAAACATGAGAGAAGGCGTGGATGGAAAACAGAAAGAAAGAAATTGATCATCTGACAGTTTATTTCTCTATATTTGAGCATTTGGGCTGAAATGAAAAATAGGGTAAAAGAGAGATCATTGAGCAAATTTTATAGATTTCCATGGAAGAGTGAGAAAGAAACAAGAAATATTAATGCAATTACAATAGCAATGTTGAAAAGATGAAACATTGATCGTGAAGAAATACACATAACCTGTTATTGACTGGGCAGTATAATATAGAATGGAAATAATTGTTCTTGAGCAGGTTCAGCTTATAATGGTGCAAGCAATAGGTGGATCAATTCAGCAGGAGAAGTTGGAGAAGCCGGACTTGTTCACAGGAACAAAGGAAAATTGTGGTGACCTAATTCCAGCTTTTGTTGTGCAGAATATACCGGTATTGATAGCAGGACAAATTACTCTTGCTGTCAGACTTGAAAGCCAGATGTACGTGATGCTGCAGTTCTGCACTGCTCTCCTGCCTTCAGAGCCTCCAACTCCTAGGGGATGTGTTGGTCCAAAGAACATTTTGTCCCGTTGCTTTCTGAGAAGCTGTTGCCACGCTTCGTGGTGCTGGGCCCTGCCTTCTGCATTGCCGGTGAGACCATTCTTTGAAATGCATCGTCTGCCCGTTTTTCCACCCCGAACCATCCCACCTGCACCTATAGGGATTCCCCACTGTGCTGCGGAGCCTTTGCCTCGGGTGGTCGATTCCTCCAGCGAAGCCTGTTAGGCTTTTTCTAATCATTAGGTGAGGGTGAAGCCCTCCACTATTTCCCAGTTTTTTAAGTATGTTCAAATAATCAGCGCTTTTTCAGAGTTCATCTCGAAGACATCAGCAATCTCTAACTGCTGGATGCATTTTTAGTAGAAGAAAAACAGGATAATCAGAGGCAAGGACTACCCAACTGACAGTCATCGATGCAGAAGCTAACAGCTATTTGTGTGAATTTTTTTTTAAACAAAGATAGCGCCTTCATTTTTACATTTCTAAACATAATCCCATGTGGAACATGTAAAATATTAATCTTTCTGCAAGAGGGTTTCTCTTGAAGTCCCTTTATGTATAAAAGATGGAAATCAGCAGTGTAGACCTCCCTCCCTGCTTCATTGATGTCTGGGGCCTTATTTGCAATGGAAATCGTCCCCTGTCGCTGCAGTACAGTCAGTGCTCTCAGGTGATGAGCTACCTGAAAAGACTGGGCTAGCTTGGCTGGGCCAGCTGCTAATTTTGCCCCAAATTCCTTTCCGATCTGTTCCGCGTGGAGCTGGGCAGGCTGGCTCCCTCCACAGGCCCTGCTGCATGGTTTCTTTTCTATCTTTATGCACGAACCCTCAGAGGAGAAGGCTTGTGCATACTTTCAGCAGCTCTCTAATTACTCGTTTGCCAGCAGTGGTTTGTGGTTTAGATAGAAATGAAAGCTGACCATGTCCTTTTATTTTGGTTTCTGTTTTCATATAGCGCTCCTCAGCCCTGACCTTCTCCATGCACCATCTTCCCTCGCTCTATGGATAAAAGCCCAACTTTTACGCAGGTCTCTCCCAGTGCCATCGCTGGTCTTACAAAGACAAATATGTGTGCGTCCCATCATTCTGCAAATGCCATTAAACCCTCACCATCCCAAGGAGCCATCAGCCATTAGCCAGCTGAGCACTTGGCAGCAAACCGAGGGAATATGCGCCTCGCTAACTGAATTTATCATATATTGACACCAGGCCAGGCCTTCCATGGGCTTCTCCAGGAAAATCTCCCTGGGCTAAGAATGGTGCAGACTCAAAGGCCCGTTGTTTGAAGGCTGCCTCTGCTCCGAGGTGCTGCCGACCCAACGCAGGGAGCGAGCACGTGGCCTGGCCCGCGCAGGCGCCGGAGCCGGGGAGGGGAGACTGTGCGGGAAGCAGGAATTTGGGGAAGGAACAAAGGAGAAACCGTGTTTTAAGAAGACTGAATGTGGAAGCCTGAGAGATTTTAAGGATATAGATGGATTGTAGCTGATTTCTTCTTACCGTCCTTTCACCTCCAAGAGCTAGTGTCGTGGATCAAAAATACCCACTGAGCCTTAATATAATGATATTGTAAAAGAAAAAACATACGCTAGTTGGGCTGTGGTTGGGGACTTGGGGAAAATCAGGAAAAGGATCTTAAGAAGATATTGCTTTCACACAGTCTGTATTTAGATATTCAGAGAGGAGAAGGGTGGTCAGCTCTGTCACAGAGTGCTGAGTGGAAAGTGGGCACCCTCTCTGACTGTCGAAGCCTTTGTGTCATGTGCAGGTTCATCCGCTGTAAGGTGTGGGCACATTCTAGGCATTAAATCTAGGTATTTCACTTAGTGTCACATCTAGATGTGCTCTAGCACAGAGAAGCGAGAGGCCTAACTTGAAAGCTGGCAGGATGTGCATTAATGTGTACAAGTATATGTGGAAAAAGACATGCTGTTCCGATTAGAATTATTTGTGAATCTTTTGGTTACAAATTGCTTGGAAAAATAATTAAAAATGTATCATCAAAATAAATGGTAATGAAGCAACATAAACAGTATCAATCACATTCTCCAGTTAATAGTTCCTGTGTAGCAGGCTGGATCAACAGCGCTGAGCTCCCAGGGTGCTCATCTATTTCTTAAGGGCACCATTTTCTCCATTCATCTTCAAGACTTTCTCCAGAACATCTTCATTTCTCACTATGCGGAGTCCTGAACTCATTACATTTCAGTGGTGGCACTTATTCTTTGCTAGCACAAATTTTACTCTTCCTTCCACCCTTCTATTCTGCAGTACGGGGAGATGCTGCTCTACTCAGGTGCCGTCAGGAGCACATGTTGACTTCTGTCAGTCCCTGCCTGCATTTATCTGTCTTCCATTCTTCATTTTTTTCCGCTGTGCTTCATTATCTTCCGTAAATGTTATTTATTACTTACTGCGGTCAGCATTCCGCCTGATCCATCTCCCTGCATTTAATTACGCTGTCTTGAGGAGCAGCTGAGCAGTTAGCAGGCAGTGCTGCTCCTCGAGCACTGCCCAAGTTTTTCTGCCAGAGTAAATGTTGAATCATTGAAGAGCAGCTGAGTTAGAAATCTACCTGAAGATGTTTTACTGTTGCAAAGTGATTACCCAATGGCCCTGATTAGCAGCAGCATTTTGCAATACCACTTAAGGCTTTATCGCAGTGGAGTACTGCCAGTAATAGTCTTTAATTCACTTATATGTACCAATTCATCTCTGTCAGGTTTCTATTAATTTTTTCACTGTTTTGCTTTGTCCCTACCCCCTTTATAATGAGGCATGATTTCCCCATTTATGTAGCCAAACTAAAAAAAAAAAAATTAAATCTTCAGCAAATTAACTCTGGTCTTTGATTTAAGACAGCTGTGCCATCCTTGCATTTGTGTTCACGTTTAATCCGCTTTTCACAAGTTAATTTATTTAGAAGAATCTGGGCGGCTCAAGTGACCAAGGGGCAGTAGTATTTTTATTAGCTCATTTAGACAGAAAGTTTCAGGATTAAGTTAGATATCGAAGTTTTGACACAGATTAAATAGGGACCTTTTGAAGAGAAGTAATCCTAAAATCTAAACGGCTAAGCGGAGGGCAGGTGTAGGATTAAAACTGTACACACTTGTGAAAAGCCACCCCATATTTATCATGAATTTTGTTCAGCAGAATGACGACTTGCTTTGCTTACCAAGGCAAGAGTGGCAGAATTGCCACATGTGCCGTTTAGTATTAGTGGCTTTTTAGTGTACGGGGAGATGTGAGCAGTTTCGTTCAGGGTTGGTGCTGCAGATCTGTGGGACGAATCAGTTTTTGGAGCCATTGCAGTAGATCCAACTGCGTGTTTGGTGCTTCTTTCTCCCTGCTAGGATCGGCGCGAAGCATCAGGAGCTGCGGCAGAGGCAAGTGAGGGGCCTCCTGGATTACTCTGCAGGGCCTGGAGGTCCTGACATGGACGATGATGATGTGGATCCAAACTATGCCCGAGTAAATCACTTCCGAGAGGCTTATCCAGCAGCAAGTATCTACAGGCCGGCATCACCAGCAGTCGCAGAAACCTTTTTGTATCCGCGCGATTCTCCTTCAACGCCGATGGAGAGGGAGCACTTGGAAGGGTTATATGCAAAAATAAGCAAGCAGCACTACCCGCAGACTCCTGCTGACAGGTAATGTCACTGCCTGGCATTAGAAACAAAGATGCACTGGCAGTTCTTTATTTTTTTTGTGTTGTTTTTTTCACAAACCCAAATAAACTGTTTTTACTGGGTGGAAAGCCATGGATTTCCTCTTAGCAAGAGGAAAAAGGATTTCTTCCAGTGGTGCCCCCAGAGCATCTGTGCAAGGCAGCAGTCAAAAAGAAATCATTACAGAAAAGTCCATATTTCACAAAGAGAATGAATGAGTCGGCTGCAGTCCAGTTCCTGCCCTGCTGACAGGGGGGTTTTGCCTCTCTCACGCAGGAAAAGTTCTTGCACTGCGGCAAAAATCATCCCTGTTTTCAGATCCCTTTTGATCCTGCTGATCATCAAATGCTTATTAGTAAGAGGTTTTGTACGGTAGCATGATATATTGCATATGTTTACAGTTTACTTTTCCCCAGCTGTGTGATATTATGCACTTTCAATTAGGTTGGGGAGAGGAGTGGGAATCATGGCATTTTTATGCAGAGTGTGAAGTGTGGCTTCACAAGACTGATTGCCTTTCACAGCCTTTCCAATAACCAAGTGGGGAGGAAGGAGCAATTTTTAATCCTTACTGTCAAGCTTCCAGGTTGATAGCATTAAAGAAAGATGGTCAAGAAAACAGATTCCGCTGGAGTTTATGATGCAGCCTCCATGATGAAGGCTTTAAAACTTGCTGCTTCTGGAATTCGGGGCTGAAAGAGCATAAGGCTTCATTAGGATTGTGGTGTAAATAAATTGCTAGCGTGTTTTTCAGACTAAGAGACAATTATGTGGGCAAAACATGTAAGTATATGCAAAAAAGAAGAGCTGGCAGAGGAAGGCATGGGAGCCTTGAGGAAAAATTGTTGCCGCTTTTGGAGCTGATGCTGCTCCGTGCAGCGTCTCCCCGCAGCCTCAGCCCGGGCTGTGCGATACACTTGTTAATTTGGGAGAAATGTGTGAGCACAGATAGGGGAGTGTGTTCAGTTTGTGGCACCGTCGTGCTTTTAAAAAGTCTACTGAGTCATTGTTATAAATAGTAATAAAATGCTTGTGGCATAAATCTAAGTGTGTAGCAGGGAATAGGCCAAGTCTTGCTTTTTTCACCTAAATAGAGTACGGGGGAGAGCTTTCCAAACATAATGACATTGCTAATTCTCTTCTTCGATATCCTTAACTCTTCCCTTACTCTGTAAGGATGAGGAGGGTGAAATAAGAGGCTGCTCTCACAGCATTTTGCCATCAAATGGGTTTCACTTTGCTGGAAGAGTCTTGAGGTGATTGTCACTGAGGTCACCTGGGCATCCGGTTGCAGGCAAGAAACTGGAAATCCGGTCACACTAACTGCGAGTTGGGGAATCCTCAGCTAGAGGGAGTCCACATATCTGAGTCACGTATTTTTCAAAAAATTAATGTAGGTAGATGTAACTCAAAATAATGGCATAGTGTTAAGATACTGTCATGAAGGTCGCTTCATAAGATCAGTTTTAACAGAGACTTTATAACTTAACATCTTAAATGTCATCGCTTTTGATTAGGGGTTTATGTATTTCTTTGCATACGCCTGAAAGAAATGTCCGAGTCATTCCACTGACCTCTTCTTTTCTTTAAGTGATGGCTTGGATCATGGTGGTAAGGGCAGTAAATGGACTCTTGACTTGCTGTAGAGACAAAATTGAAGCCCTGGCTACATTTTTGCATCCAGTCATGGTTCCTGGATTTTCACATGCGTCTGGCTTTCATATTATATCATGGTGGTTTCCTGGGAAAACAAAAACCAAAACTGCAACAGGCAAAAAGGAAAGTTATCTCATGTCTGAGGCCGCGAGCAGAAGTCGTGCTGAGAGGCTGTTCTGTCTGTGTTGACTCTCCCCGGGAGGACAAACAGTCCACAACATCTCAGCTTTGTAGAAGTTCCCAGCCTTGTAGAGGCTGTTTAACCACATCAGGATAAAAAAGAGGGACTTTGGGATTCTTATTAGGCTGCCTTTGTTCTCTTCCTAACTCTATCTTTCCTTTGTCTCACAGACAAAAAGGTTGTTGTTGTTCACCATTAGAAATGTGCCAAAGCTGAATAATTCGATGTGGATTTATACAGTGGGTTGTGAGGCTTCAGCCAACAGTTGTTGGAATATACTGGTAACTCCAGGCGAGGAAATCTTTCTAGGCTGGAAGGAGGAAAAGATAAGGAAAAAAAATAACCCCTGGATAACATGTTAATTATAAAAACAAATCTCCTTTCAAGGGTCATGTATGAAAACTACCTTGTCTGCCTCGAAATGATGGGAAAGGGCTATAATGGATGCTTATTAGCCAAACTAAAGTTTTTTCGTTTGCAGGGATGAACATTTATCACCACATTTGTCGTGTAATAGCTCATGTTTGGGTCCTGCTAACGCAGGCATGCTCTCTCTCAAAGTTTTGCTATTAATTTTACTTTAGATAGATGGCTTTTTTTCCCACCTCTGACTCTCAACATATAATACAGCGTGTGGAGGCTTGAGCAGCGACTAAAGTAAATGAGGTTGGGGGGTAGAAAGGGGATTTGAACAGCGCGAGAAGAGATGATTTCATTTTGGTCTGAGAATTCCAGTTATGCGTCATTATGATAGAGAATTAAAGCTCTTCATTTGAAGCAAGCAGTTCGTTCTTGTTTTTGCGTGTGTTTTTTTTTCTTCACAAGAATGTATTAGCATGATTAACGGCTTGTAAAATTCAGAGGCCGTTTGTAAAGGAGGAATCTCTGTGGTCAGATCCGTGCTAATAATTTGTCTCTGTTTATGCACCTTCCCAATAGCCAGGCGTTGCATCCAGCTCGGCAGGGTTCCAGCTTGACCCGAGCCTCTTGCAGGGCACGGAGCGCGGCGGCTGGTGTGCACGGTCGCCGTTTTGTGAGTCCTTACGGAATATGGTGCCTGCAGACACGTACGGAGCCGGTGCCCGGCACTGTGCTGCTGCACAGTTGTTGATTTCCTCTCCGCTGATGACTATATTCAGTGAAATAGATGTAATTCTTTGTGTATACTTCGCTGAAAGCTTTGGGATAGAGAGGTGCTATATAAATGTAAATTGTCCTTATTAATGAGTATAGCAAAAGCATTAGCATGATCAGTGTATTTTCTGAATGTTAAGTTAAAGATGGGGGAAAAAAATTAGCTGGCAAAACCACGCATTTCTTTGCAAATCAGAGCTTTTTTTCCCTGTTTATTTCCAATTAGGCCCAATTTTCCATAATGGAAATGCCCTCCCGAAGGCTGGTGCTGCCCGCGCAGCTGGGGAGGCCGCGGGCGCCGGCGGCACCGAGGTGCCAGCCCAAAGCCCAGGAGCATCCGCACGGCCGCGGCGGCGCGGAGACGTCAGCCGTGACACACGCGGCAGCCCTTCCGCGCGGCTCCCATAAGCAACTTCCCTTTTTCCTTCCTTGAACATGGTGCTGTCAAGTATATCCAAACACTCCGAGTACATCTCCGGAAAGTTTCTGAAGACACGCTCAACTTATTTGCTCAGCCTGGAAGTATGAAACGTTTTAAAGTCTGATGCCAAACTCATTGCCAAGTATAATTTTTCATTTATTTATGTGTCTTATCTTTGGGAATTTCAAAGTGCTGGTCTGACAAAAATGAATACAGTTTTCCTTTGTTTAGCAGGAATAAATTCAGAGCTGTGTCTTGTTACAGATAAAAAAAAAAAAAAAAAGAAGAAGAAAAAAGAAAAAGATCACTCCCTTATTGCATAGGAATGGAGTCCAAAGCCCTGGGCTGCTCCAGCCTTCTGGTTTTGGAGATGCAGTGTTGGTCCCACCATGGCAGAGCTTCCATTAATAAATTAATTGAAAAATGCATCTCCATTAATTCAGGCTGAAAGTTTCCCCATGGAAATGTGTGCTCCTCCGGACTGTCCCGTTTAGCCGAACGCCGTCCTGCTTGGCCCTGCAAGAGCCGAGTTTCCTGGAGCTCAGGCCAGCTGTGCAGCACCTCTGGCCGCTGGGGAGCACGTGCTTCTCCCGGGCCGGGCAGAACCGCAGCCGGAATTTCGGAGCGCCCTTTGCTGCTGCTCCCTGTGCTTCGGTGGCACAACAGCTATGATCATGCTCTGGAATATTTTAATTTACAGGGCACGACACAAGGAGCAAGCCCTTGCTCTGCTTCACCACGGAGCCTCTTGGGCTGCCTCCTCTACTTGCTGTCCTCAAACCGTCTGCTCAGGTTTCCTCTCCTCTGCCTCCCCGCACCCCCAAGACTCTCCTCCAGTTCCATCAGACACGGGAATTATTTTCTCTCCCAAGCTTGCCAGGGCAGCTTGTGAGCTTTTGGCTGCAGTCAGACAGGCTGCTTTCCCTGTAATGCTTAAAAAAAAGGAAAAGAAAAGAAATACCCCACCGTGGCAACTTTTGCTACTCTTTTTGCCTCCTGTGCTCGATTTTGGGTGTAAGCAAGGTCCAGGGTATGGGAGAGGCTCCGTGGCCCATGGAGGAGCCCTGGAGCTGGCCTAGGTTGGAAGCAGGGCAGTGCAGAACCCTTTTTGGCTACCCACTTCCCAGGAGTGAAGGCTGCCCCGTTAGACTTGTATTTGCACAGAGTTTTTGCTCCTGACACCGCTTGCAGTTTCCTTCCTAGAAAGGGACAGTGGGTACCGTGGTACCATGTACTAATTGTCCTAAGTGGAAAAACGTGGAGTAATGGGGCTATTTGGAACATGTTTAGACAGCCTTAGTTTGATTTCCAAGGTATATGCAAAAAAGAAAAAATAGTATTTTTATTTGATAGCGTTCAACAAAAGCTTTTCAGAGCTCCGTCTCGGAATGCCGTGTCCCGAAACGCCTTGTTTGCATCCTCCCAACGTTTGGCACCCTCGCCCTGTCCTTCACTTCTCGTGGATGCCTGAGGGTTTGAGGAGCTCGCGTAGCCCGGGGGATTTTGGAGCGTGTCCGAACAGCAGGGAATTGTCAAGGTTTGAGGCGAGCGGGGCCGCAGCTCCCACGTTCTGCAGTGCGTGCTCGTTCC